GCCCACGAACCCCCCCCCCCCGTCCTATGCCGACGAAGAAACCGGCATATCGCTCCTACGTCCGGCCATTGTAGGGATGCGAGGTCAATAGTCGAGCGACTACTGCATGCGTTGACACGAGTGCACTCTCCCCCGTCACGCTGCCTGGCTACCTAGACCCACATGGTGTGCGATTGTGGCGCTGCATTGCCTCGTCTTTTGCGGATACCTGTTTTTCCACATCGTGTGGCACGTCTTCGTGATGGTTGCCCACGCATCCCCCTTCCCATAGCACCGCCTGGTTACGTCTGAAACCCGGGGTGTACGATTTTTGGCTGTTCGGACTCCTGCATCGCCCTTGTCTTTTGCAGGTACCTGTGTTCCACATCGTGTGGCACGTGTTCGTTATGGTGGCGAGCACTCTCCACTGGTTCGCGGTTTTCCACTACACGGTGCAGTATGACGTGCCTAAGCCTTGGATGAGCTAGGAAGCAAGCATCCTTGGCCGGCTACAATTGTATAAAGCTTTTGGATCGGCTTTTGCTTGGTTCGATTGGTACTAGCTTGATGATTCGATGGGCCGTCGCTTGATGTGACGTTCGCGAGCTTGATTGCTACATAGCTTCGGTTGTATGATTTGATTGTATGATGTTGGTGTTTGATCATGTTAGCTAGATTGTTCGATTGCCCCCTACTGCTGTAGGTTGGCTCTTTTGTTTTTCCTTGGCCTGGCGTGTCGCTGGAACGCGCAACTTCTGTGACCGAGGGTGCGTAACTTAGAAGTTTTCGTTTCAGACGACAGAGGCATTGCCAATAGGCGTACGCCATGCGTAGCAAGCATGAGGCGGGTATAGGTCGTGGCCTCGTCAACTGGCGTGGCAACTGTTGGCCGATGCAGTTGGTGTTTTGGAAGTACCCGCTGCGTGTGTTTGTTGTGGGGGTGATTTCGGTGTTGAACACCGGCGGCAGTGCGTTGGGTGAATTCCGCCGCCTTGTGCTTTGCCGATCGCGGCACTTTTTTGCCGATCGCGACACTTTTGGTGGAGTTTTGTCCGTGTCAGGGGTACATACAGTCAAATGGTTGGTGGAGTTCGAGCCTCAAAAATAGTACTGTTCTCTGGATCGTTCTTATCCCAAGCACGGCGGCAGACATGCTTCTGCCTTTTTTGGGTGTAGCCTAGCGTGGCCTGTGACCACACGGAGGGGGGGTCGATCGTGTGCTGGTCAACGGACGTGGTAGAGTTTGCGGCGTGAAGTCATGTACAACACAGCACATACGAGATACCATGGGACAGGATGGTAGAGCTTTTTCCTGTACGGGGGGGTGTGCCTTTGGTGTCGATGTAGAGCCCATGCAATGTTCTATCGAGCGGTGCACGAAAACGAGTGTTTTTGAATCAGCGCACGCAGACGGTAGTTCCTCCAAGCAGGCGAAGAATGTGAAAAAAGCGGATGCCGTCTTGTGCTTGGCTGCAAAAAGCGACCGAGCGACCGAGCTGGATTGTGTGTGTGTGTGTGTGTGTGTGTGTGTGTGTGTGTGTGTGTGTGTGTGTTTCGTGTTTCTTCTTGCCGACAGCTCTCAAAAGCGTACACCTTCCATTGCCAACACTCTGTTTCTTTCCCCTGTCCGGTGGAAACTTGCGCGTTGGGGTCGTACTCTGTTGATGGTTAGTGGTCCGATCACAAGCTTTCCTACGGCTGGGCAGACTTTCTGTTGAGTTTTCGCTCGTAGGGGTACCGCGTTGAGTTGTCGCTCGCAGGGAACAAGCGCTTTCCTCTTGCCGCTAGATGGGCTGATTTGTAGCGTGTTTGGAGCTAGGGGTCTCTCCCCCTGCTGCCTGTGTCAGTATCCAAACCGTGTTCATCAAGAAGAAGCGCCATGATACTAGCGCAGAAGCGCTTGTGCTGGCTCTTACGAACATGGAAGCCTGAAGGTGGTGGGTGGGGCATCGCTATGTGACGGGGTTTGTGGCGGTGCTGGAGAGGAGGCCTTCTCCCGTGAACGTGCATGCTTGGCTCAAGCTCTAGCGCTGACTCTCATGAACATGGAAATCCGCTGGTGGTGGGTGGGGCATCACCATGTTACGGTGACTGGCTCGGGGGTTTGCGGCGGTGTTGGAGAGGAGACCTTCTCCGGTGGGGACGTGCGTACTTGGCTGAGCTGCTGCTACACATATCCGGCTGGCTGCAGTCCCCGCTCCCGTCGGGGTAGTAGTTCGCTTTGCGTACCGCATGGCTGCATTGCCGCCCGTCGTATTTTCGTCCTTGTTGGTGTTTTTGGTGGTGATAGTGTTCGACGGCTGTGTTTTGGCCTCCCGTGTTCTTCTAATCTTTTTTTCGAGTTTTGTGATGCACCAGAGAAATTTCCAGAGTGTGTACAGAAAAAATTGATATTTACTTGGTGTAGGCTTATCGAGATGCTTCCTGCGGTGATGAGGGGGGTCGAGAGAAAGGAGGGTAGGCAAAATCCAGTGTCGAGTTTTGCGGAAGCAGGTGGTTGTGTGTGGCGCTTTGCCCCCGGCGGGTGGGACAACATCTTCCCTTCCTTCTAGCGGATCTTATCGAGCGTGACACCATGTGGGGAGGAGGACGAGGAGGAGGAGGAAGCGTGTTGGTTGTTTTGTCTTCACATTAAAAACCGTTCCGATCTCTCTCTACCCAGTACCTTCATATGTTGGTTGCCGCACATTGGTTGTTCGAGGTTGTTTGTACTGCTGTTGGAGGGCAGTGTGTTGTTGTCGCCACGTGCACGGATAATCCATACCGATTCGAGTTTGTCAAAAAGCACCACAACGGTTGCAGCAGCAATGGTGGTGGTGCTCTGCCGGAACCACAGCTGCAGTCAACATCTTTATTTCAAGGAGAGAATCTCGGAGAATACCACGCTATCCAAAGCGGACGTGCTTTGGGTGGTAATGGCTGTGGGAGGATCGTCAGTTACGTTATACCTCCCCGGCCCCATCGCCGTCCATCAGAGGGAAGGGCATCGACCATGGCGGGGGTTGCCGTCCCATGCTACGCGCACATGCCGTGAGCTACATCAAGGCAAGCAAGACCTTGCTTAGACCCCACGGCTTCGAGGATACCTTCAGACCATGAACTCCTTACAATACATGATTGCGTTACCATCACCACTTCGCGCTGCTGCCGCTCTTCGAAATGGGGCCACAGGCGACAGAGCAACCTATTTTAGTGTCATGGTGGACCCTCAGACTAAGGTACCATTTGAGCGGGTATATCTTCTTGCTCAGGGTCGCTTGGGAGTGAGCGGTAGCGAGCGACTGACAGAGAAAAGGAGGATAACGAAAAGGAACCGGACGGAAATGGAGCCGCAACCTACACACAGCTTAATCTCGTCAGACAAAGCGATTGCTACTGTGCGTTCGTCGAGAAAGGCAGCAGATCGAAGTATTCAACGATGGCTTTTGCCGCCGCCCGGCGTTCCGGGCGGTTCCTCCTCTTGTTCTGCCTGGTACGCTCGACGGCTTTCCGCTTGCATTCTTCGGCCACTCTCGCCATTGTCGCTTTGCTCCGCCGGTCCCTTTTGGCCGGCTCTCGACCGCCGCCCGTAGACCTGGCTTTATTGGGGATAAACGAATGCCCACCGCGGTGGTTGCTGTCTGCTACTGTTGGTAGCTTCGAATCTATGGTTACTTGGCGTTTCCCTGTTTTTGTGGGTCTGCCGCTTGCTGCCTCCCTTCTCCCTCTTGTTGCCATTTGCACCCATTCCCATCGCGCTGCGGCCGCTGTACAAACAGCAGGGGCCGGGAGAGAGGAACTGTCGATGTCGGGTGGAGGCTCGGTTTCTTTCTCTGTCGTCACCACCTACCGCAGCTGAGTACAGGTGATGGCTGAGTACACCGAACATCATAAACAATACAATATTGGATCAACTTAACAGGAATCCTTGGGTGAGCTGAATATTTCAATAGTTCTTACATCTAAGCATAGACCAAACCATTTTCTTGCTCTTGCGGCGACATTTCGAATTTGCCAAACCATTCTATCTAGGTTCTCAAAAAACTACATAGCTGCGGGGTCCGCACTGCTGTGTCGAGTGAACGTTTGGATCGACCACCGAGCGAAGGAGCTATCAGGAAACAACAACACAGCTCTAGGCAACCTTCTTGCTTCGGTTGTGCATACATCTCCGCTAGCCCCACTGCATCACCACCCACCAGGACAATAAACTGTAGACTACCGTGTACCGTAGGTAACATGACGTGAGATACCTCACCCCCCTGACCGATATTCAAACAAACCTCGATTGCTCCACGCAAGAGGATATCAATCAAATGACATGTTTTCGGGAGATCTGGACGAGACGGTCCCATCGCCGTCCTTTTTTGGCAACGCCACCCTCTCTTCTGCTGTGAAGCAATTGAGCTGCAAATAGGTCCCGGGGGGTGTGGTATCTTGTGTCACCCACGGAGGGTGCCCGCCCGCCGCCTTGTTCACCTGCTGAGACCACGCGACGACTGCTGCGGTCGCTGACGCTCATGGCGGCCTGTCTGGAGTTGACTATCACATGTTGCTCCTCCTCTCCTGATGGTAGGTGATTACGCGGCGTGTTCCTGGACAAGACCTCTGACCGGGCTTGTCATAGGCTTTTTCCGTGCGACGTGGATACAACTCGTGGTTGGTTTGTTCGCCTGAGCTCCTGACCCAGGTCCTTCACAATCCGAATCCGCTCCGACGATCTTGCACATTGTTCGCCGAGCTTATTCTCGGTTTTCGCGTCGTTTCCACGATCTATGGCCACCACAACGTAGTATCAGGATCGAAGAGAGAAACAGGAGCAGCAGGATCACCAGCGAGCTTGGGCGTGAGCTGACAGCAGCACGGGAGAACGGGCGCACGGGCGCTTGTTATTTTTTTTTCTTCTTAATATGACACAACGAGTCCATCTCTATCATAGAAAAGAGTCAGAGACAGATTAACAATGGAATCATAGCGTCAGAGAAAACTACCTGTGTGTCTACGATTTCCCAGACAGCTTGTTATTTTTTTTTTTCCATAATATTGGCGTCCCCTCCCATACGTGGACAAGATGATTTCGTCCAACTCCCTTTGATTTCGCGGCGCCCCTTGTGTACCTGAGCAGTGTTGGTTCTCAGTTCTGTTTGCCAATCGGGTTGTCTGGCAGGTGCCTATCGGCTGTGCTGTGTGTTGTGTCTCTCGCCTACCCCGCCGGAGTACTCGGCCAGGCAGAGAGAGATATTGCCCTCCCTCTGATGTTGAACTCTATTCAGCGGCTGCTGAACTTCGATGGCTGCACCAACCCGCAGTTCAGTAGCTCCGACGGCCTTGGGCAGGTAGGCGTAGCGGGCTTCTTGACGGGGCTCGTGTTTGGCGTGCACCTCTCCATCGCCGGCTGTTGCCTGACTATCAACGGGCTCGTTCTCTCGCGCTTGGTAAGACGGAGGTGTAGCAACAGGCAGTCCATGCGTGGAAGCTCATGGAAATTGTGCTTGGATTTGAATTTCCGCACGGTGTACAAAATGTGTCGTCTGTTACACATGCTTCGAGAAGTGAAAATCTCTTGCATTCGAAGCTTCTTTATTTTAGTGTTGATTGCTGCTCTCCCCCCGCTTTGGTAGGCAACACGTGTGTTCAGTTTAAATCCGTGCCATGGTAGACCTTTGTAACTCGTTCAAATACGCACGAAACCTCCCAGAAGCAGCTCTTGCAAAACGTCGTCGTGCCATCAGGGACGTAAAGTTAGCGTCAACTACTCTCACAAATCGAAGCTCCCACAAAAGGCACGGGGGCGTGCCGTGCGGCGTCGAGCTGTCTTTTTTTTGTTTCGAAACTCAACAAGACACTCGAAATATACAACTCAACCCGCGATGGTTTCTCGTCGAGATGCACTGCTGCTGCTGACTGGATCGCTCTCCTCTGAAAAGAACCTGCCGCCGCACGAATCAATCGACACGAACGACCGGACCGACCGGCTGCGTGCGAACGAACAGCTTCAGTGGAGCCTCTACTCTTGCTCTCTGTCCTTCTTCCACTTCTCGGAGTTCTTCGTAACCGCGGTCTTCAAGCCGGACATCGTCTCGTACAACTGTAAGAGTGTTGGAAGCGTCCTCACACGCCTTGGCTCTGCCATTTTGTTTTTTGATTCATTCCATATTTCTGGTAGACGGCAACAACACTGCGGAAGTTGCCCTCACAACGGCGTGCTTTAGCTGCTCTTATGAATGTTCTCTGCTCATGGAGAAGATTGTCGTATCTGTCGGGTTGGTGCTTCAGTGCTTGTGGTGAGCACGAACCCCTCTCCCCCCCCCCGATTGGCCATGGGTGATCCGTCCTGTGGGAATAATGCGGTCCTTCCTCTCGAGGACGCGTGGTCAATGGTCCAACCGCTAACGCATGCAAGATATGAGAGTACGCCCCCCCCCCCCCTGGTGTTTGCCATAGGGGTTGGGTTTTCGTCGCTTGGCAACTGCGTTGTAAAACAAGCCCCCACCCCGGTGTTTGCCATCGGGATTGGGTTTTCGTCGCTTGGCAACGACGTTGTAAAACAAACCAATTCACTTGGTGAACTCGGCAACCAGGTTACCGTTTATTACTTTTTTTTTTTTTGCTCTAACCATAATGGTGGTCGAGTAGATCATGTTGTGCGGGGTCGAGAACCCTCACTCCGCGCAAGGGGGATGGTCGCACCACGTTGTGTTAAAATGGTCAAGCACCCTCGAGGCAGTTACACAGTGCTTCCAACTGTCTCAGGAAGTGAGAATACCAGAAAATAAATTAAGTCATACGCAGCTGTCATCCTTACGCGAGGAAGTAAGCACAAGATGCCGAACACCCTTTTCAGGATGCAGCGCACCCTTCATGCGACTCGCCGAGTATCTCACGGCGCTTCCCGCTTGGTGATGTGAGAGCCTGGTCCGGTGAGAACCCGGCGTGCTCCGTCCCGGCTTTGTAGGGATGCGAGGTCAATGGTCTAACGACCACGGCATGCACGACTATGGTATCCCCCCCACCCCCCACCCCGGTCGCGCGAACCCAACCAACCGAAAACGTTCGCGGATTTCTTTGCGACGCAGCCTTCGTGCTCAACCACAGCAAGGAGTACACGGGGGCGCTGCTGGCGAGCTGGGCGGAGTTCGGTCTGGAGGCCTTCCTGTTGCCGGAGCTGAAGCGCCAACCGGCCGTCGTCGCCGCCGGCGTCGCGCTGGCCCTGATCGGGCATTGGTTCCGCGTGGGGGCCATGTGGACTGCGGGCTCGAACTTCAACCACGAGATCATGCAAAGAGTGAGGAGGAGTGAGGAGAAAGAAGCTGTTTTATCCTTGCTCGAGGCCCAACAACTGCATTGAAATTGTTTGCGGTTTTTGAGATAGGGGTTCTGGCTGTAATTTTCCGCTCAGGTCTACTGAGGCAATGAAGAAGAGGAAGGAGAGAGGCTATAAGACGTCGTTCGAGATGTTGGGAGGAGGCCAACAAGGGGTTTTGAATTTTTGTTTGCGGTTCTTGAGAGGTTCTATGTAGATAAGGTCCACTGAGCCAGTGAGGAGGGAGGAGAGGGGCTATCTTAAACCTTGCTCGCGATGTCGGATGGCCAACAAACGCTCTGATATTGTCTTTGTATGTGAGAGCTTCGGTCTTTTCCCGCTTCTTAGGTAACTAGCCGTCTCGTTTGCCTCCCTGCGCGAAAAGACCGGCAGTACCCAGCAACGACGGTCGGCTTTTGCTGCTAGCTTACCGCCTCTGACAGTCGTTCGTTACACCTACCTCTGCTCCCTCCCCTAACCCCCTCCTTGGTTTGCGAAAACGTACGCAACGCCGTTCTTTGGTGCCGCTTGTTTGGGTGCGGCGCGTGCGTGTCGGATGGCGGGGGCCCCCATGTTCGTCCCGATGGCGGGGACCCCTTGTCTTTGATTTTATGTTCGCCGACAGAGAGAACAATCTCACCAGCTCGTCACACGCGGAGTGTACCGGTTCCTCCGACACCCCAGCTATTTCGGGTGGTTCTGGTGGAGCCTAGGCACCCAGGTGAGAGAACCACACACACACAGCAGCATCAACCAGCCCTTGCTTTTTTCTGCCCAGCGGCAGCGACTGTCGGCGGGCAGCCGTGTGGAGGGTATGGGGCGGGGGCGGGGTCCATGGTAGACCGGCCTTTGGTATATGTGGTGCTTACTCGCAGGCTAGGAACGTTTTGGGGGGGGATTGTGAAGTGGTGGCGGAGGAGGCAGGTGCAGCGAGGGGCGGCACTGCTGTGGAGTCTATCTGCTGTCACTGCTTGCTGCAACGGCAAAACCTCGCTGTCGCGTATGCGAGTGTTGCTGTTGCTGCTGTTGCTACCGGCTGCTGCAGAAGCTGGGGTCGCCCGCTGCTATATTGCACAACAGGAACGCGTTTGTTCGGAGGCGTTGAAAATGTCCCCGGGTATGCACAGCGTGTGTGCCAGCACACGGCATCAAGAGGCGATCGCCGGGTACCCTGTGTGACCCCTTGAACCCCGCTGTCCCCTCTCCTCGAATACCTGCGCCCCCCCCCCCCCCCAATGCTCCTTCCTGGACGCGTGGACAACGGTCTAACCGCTAAGGCATGGAAAACATGAACATACGTCCCCCCCCCCCCCCCCCCCGCTCTACGTTCACAATCCATTGCTCCCCCTCTCGTGTTGGCTTGCCCAGCTTGTGCTGTGCAACCCGCTCTGCTTCCTGGTGTACGTGGTCGCCGCCAGCTCTTTCTTCCGAAGGCGCATCCCTTACGAAGAAGCTCTCCTCGAATCCTTCTACCCGGAACAGTACCCGGCGTACGTGCGAAGAACGTTCGTTGGGATCCCCTTCGTGCCCAACCGTAGCAACCGTGGCCGCAACAGCGGCGGCAGCAGCAGCAGGCGTTCTTGGGAGTTGGGCGGGGGCGGAGGGGGGGGGCTCGCGGGCGAAAGAACGCCGCTGGGTGTCGTCGAC